GGACTGAACACATGTCCACACAGAAACCTGTATACAGCTGCCTTATTCACATAGCCAAAAACGTGGAAAACCCTCAGATGGATGGAAAAGCAAAATGTGGTTCCTCCATACAATGAAATATTCAATTGTGAAAAGAAATGAAGTGCTGATACATGTTACAATATGGATGAACCTTGAAAACAGGCGGAGTGAAAGAAACCAGCCACTCCATATGGTACGATCCCACTTACGTGGAATGTCAAGTATAGGCAAATCCACAGAGACGGTAGATTAGTGGTCGCTTAAGACTGAGAGATGGGGGAATGAGGAGGTGTAGCCAGTGGGTACAGGGTTTGGTTTTGTTTTGAGATGATTAAAATGTTTGTGATTGTGTTGATGGTTGCACAATCCTGATTTTATAAAAAAACATTGAATTGTGTATTTTAATTGGGCAAATTGTATGGTATGTGAATTATGTCTTATTGATAACAGCTTTATTAGCCGTTACCGGAAAAAGATAAGCAAAAAATTACCTTCCACATTTGTAAGTTTATTGTATATTTATTGTAAATGTTTCGTCTGTTTGGACTTCCATAACAAAATACTACAGACCGGGTGGCTTAAACAATAGAAATTTGTTTTCTCACAGTTTTGGAGTCTAGAAGTCCCAAGATCAAGGTTCCAGCTGATTTGGTTTCCGGCGAGGGCTCTCTTCCTGGCTTGGGGATGGCCGCCTTCTCACTGTGTCCTTACCAGGCCCGCCCTCGGTGCAAGGGAGGAAGACCAGGCAAGCCCTCTGGTGTCTGTCACAAGGACACCATTCCTGTCAGGTCAGGGCCCACCTTTATGACCTCACTTAACTTTAATTACCTCTGTAGAGGCCCCAACCCCAAATACAGACATACTGGGGTTACGCCTTCAACTCAGAATTTTAGGAGGACATAAACATTCATTCAGTCCATAACACATATATGTTGTAGTAAGTTTATTCACACTTGATTGTAATAACTTTTTTCACTGGTGCTTTGTGATCACAACATAGTTGAATTCATAGTGATTTAGACTCCACTCCAAGTTTATCTCTTGTGCATCTACTGTCTACCTTCCCCTGAGCTAAGTGCTTTGCAAGCAATTTTCTCAAATCCTTACAACCACCGACAAGATAGCTATTTTGCAGAGAGGGAAATTAAAGCTTATATTTCCCCAAGTTAACAACCAGCAATAGAGGATATGAATTTGAAACCTAGGTCTGTGTAGCTGCTGAGCCTTGCCTCATCTGCTGTTTCCTGTTGCTGTAATCAAGGTGGAAGTAAGTAGTGGTTCCTGTTTCCTGTCTTCCCAGGATGGCTTTTAGGCAAAATCCAGAAATTAGTTATGGCAGCTAACACAGAGGCAGTACACCTAGGTTCAGACTAGAGTAAGTAATCAATTTACTAGAGAAACTGGCATGTGTACACAAGGAGACAGGGAAGAGTATTGCAGCATTATTTGGATCACTACTAGTCAAATACTGACAGAAGATGCATCATCAAAGGACTGTTACAGAGCAGCCAGAGACTGAACCGGAGCCACACCCGTGACAGGTGAATCACACCACAGAACAGAAAAGCAAGAGGAGGAGGAGACCACATACAGAATGGTGTCACTTACATACAGTTTTAAGATGTTCAGAATAAGTATCTGAAATGTAAAAACACCAGTGTGTTTGCAGTAGGCGTCCTGGGGGCCTCTGTGCCCGCACTGAGCTTGCACAGAGGAGGGTTTGAGGCACGCACTGCACCCCCAGAACACCCACGTCTACGCCCACCCTAACAAACCACACACACAGTTGAAGTG